TGTATATATATGTATATACATATATATACACCTATATATGTACACACACATGCAACACATTAAATATAACAACAACAAGGACAATACTATTGCTAATTCTCAATGTAAACCTCTGCTTCTCATTATTCACTCGCTGGCAAATACACAAAAAAATAGATCACCGGTAATGGAGCTGCTTTATATTTGTGCTACATATCTTTACTCATATATGTAGGTGAAAATCTAAAAAGAAAAGCTGAAAATGCTAAAATAAAAATAGCTAACATTTTAGCTGGTCAGCCAGATGTTTCCCCTTCACTTTCGTGCGTTGAATGAAAAAAAAAAAAAAATTCGAGTCTAAGTCTGCTGCTGTTTTTATATTTGGTCAAATATGCATCACGTTTATATCAAGAGCCGCAGAACCGGCTTGGACACAGATACTGAGGACTTTTGTTTGCTCTAAATTTAAAATGAAAGCCTGGTGTACAGGCTCAACCGGGGTCAGCGCCGATGTGTAATGAAAGGATATAGACTCAGACGCTAAATATAAGAACGTGAAATATTTCCGCGGTATAATTAGCTGGAGCCTGTGATTTCTTTAAATGAGGAGGTAAATGTCTGCTGCGTGAGTGAGATTAAGAATAAAAAAAAAACAAGGAAAAAAAAAAACGTGCTATGCTTTTTCTTTATTGTTTTTTAAACCTAATTATAATCTATCATTAGCACCAGGGCCAGAACCCGAACAAGTACCTTTAAATCACCTGAATTTGTCCATTAAATGCTAGTAAGATGACGATTTTTTTTTTTTTTAGCTCACAAAAATAAAGTCGTTTATAAAGTTAACTGAAAAACTGCAGTTAGTTTTACACTAAATACATACATACATACACATGACAGAGTGGCATTACGGACTTAATTCGTTCAGAAATAGCTTGGTCTAGTTACGCACTAAACTAGTTACACACACTAGATGACTAAAGGGTGTGTAGAAATATCTTTAGCCCATCAAATATTAGTTAGTTAAAGATTACTAGATGAAAGTAACTGAAAAAACATGCAAAAAAAAAGAAAAAGGGTAGCGACATTTATGCTAAAAGTAGCTGTTAGTTAGCAAAAAAAATGACCTAAACATTCAGATTTCCGATGTAGTCTTAGTCTTTTGAAGGATACACTGTTAGTTTTAGTCATATTTCAGTAATCGGAAAACTTTTAGTCTTAGTCTAGTTTGAGTCTTTTTTTGAGTCTTTTTTTGAGTCTTTGATTTTTAGTCAGGCAAATCTATGGTGGACTACTTTGTTGACTAAACATATCTCTTTGAAAATGTCCATCATTTCAGTTTTGAAATGGTTTTAGAGGAGCAGTTGTATAATGGAACCTGTATTTTGTTTTATATTTCTCTCTGTAGAAAATAAGATTAAGAAAAATATGGTGCATTTTAAAAATAAAAAAAAATTAAAAACACAGTTAGCTGTAATGCTATTGCGCACAATCCCCCAAAAAAAACTACTTTATGTTTTGTTAAGTCAACTAAAACTTTCTCTCAGCACTGGCAATACAGGTTAATAATATATTGAAGATTTGAAAATAAAAACAAAATAAAAAAAATGGATAAAAGTAAATGTATTTGGATTGTGCGCAATGGAGGTGGTCAATGCTATCGAGAGATGCCGGTTTTGTCCCTCCCTG